CTCTTATAGAACTCTGCCTTCTATCCCTTACCCTCCACCCTCCCCTCCACTCCCTTTGTGCTACGAACAAATACATACGAATAAGCATCATTATGTTATGATTCTGGTTGTTTGTTGTCTGAGACCAACACTCACACACATAGACTTCCAGGTATGTCCATACATACACAGAAGGAAGGAGAGAGGATAGGAGTATCACACCGCACAGGGAGAGATAAACACAGCGGAAGACTTGACCATGCGATATCACAGGGTACACTGAAGGTGCAATTCACTCCACACAATCCTCACAACCAATCATAAAGGAAAGCCGAGTAGATCACATCCATGAAACAATGAAGCAATGATAGTCTGAACCCAGTATCACACTGTTTATTAAACCCAGAGTCTCGAATTGTCAGGATATCCTCAGAACTACAGTGCGCTGCTCAGAATTGAGCAGCGCTTCACGCCCCAACCCTGAGTCACCACTTGTAACACCCCTGAGCCCCTGAAACATCAAGCGCCACCCAGATACAGCCTCCAAAGGGAAGCGCCACCCTGAAACAGGCCTCTGAGGCCAAGCGCCACTCAGAGGATGAAGAAGAAGACCAGCGCCACAGTATCTGATGATGACGAAGTGTCGGAAGACTTCCCGAATGGAAGTCTGCAGCAGCGCCACCAACTCCTGACAAGATGGCCTCTGAGGAAGAAGCTGCAGCTATGGCTGCAGCGCCACAACCCCGGAACCCCACTCCGGAGGAGGGTCCAGCAGGGCACCAACTTCTCTCGCCTCCATCGGACCTCGATAACCCAGACCTCTGACAGCCCCTACATGCTGACAGAGTACAGCGCAGGTCCCAGCTATGGCCGGCGCTCTGAAGGTCTGGCTATGCCTGTCTCCTTCCATGCTGAGCCGTCACCACTTCCGGTTCACACGTAGCGTAGCAGCGATGTACTCGGTACCAACTGCCAAAAGCCCTGAACCGATGTGCCCATCCTATATATAGACTAAACTAGCCTAGACCCGACCTAGACCGGACTGACTGACCGACCGGTACCGATTCTGTCTCGGCCTCTTGGCCTCTACCTTACCTGGCTATAGGCTATAGGACCGTCTATCAGCATAGGCCTTTAGGCATGTCTGTCCTAGGGGTAGCCCGGGCCTGCTATTTGCAGTTACGGTAGCAGTAGGAAATTCTGTTAGTGCTGGGCCTGTATTTTCCCAAATTTGCAGGTATGTCCCTCAAGAATTTCCACTACAGGTAGGTCTCTTGGCTAGCCCTCAGCCAAACAAAATTACGAATCTACCCTACCTATGGTACAGCCTCGACAGAGAGAGGCTACAGGCGACCAGAAAACAGCAAGTCATTGGAATTAAGAGAACAGACAATATGAAGGTCAGAAATGAAATGAACGGAAGTATGAAGATGAAGGACAGACACAAAGACCGTATAAGCTGAAGATCTGAAGTGAATGAACAGGAGTACGAAGCTCTGAAGAGAAATGCACAGGAGCATACCTTCCCTTTTACTCTGCCTCCTGAAATAACATGCAAGTGGGCCGTGAAGGCACGCGGGGGTGTGGGCAGCTGCCGCTCAACCACAATCAATGTGGGCAGCCTTGTGCGTAAGAGGCACAGTAAAAGGGGAGCTGCAAGAACAATGAAAGGGGTACCCCAAGGACAACCAAAAAACTGTATAATTACTGTGTTAAATTCCGGGCCGCCCGGCGGCCCAGCCTCCATCCGGCAGGGGGTCCCGGGCGGCCCGGCCGGTTGGGTCCCCCGGTTCGATGCCGGGCGGGCCCAGCGCATTTTTGCGCGGGGGGGGGGAGAGGCCTGTTTCGACGTTTCTGGGCCTTGGGAGCCTCCCCGCCCCCCCGTGCAAAATTTTTCTGCCGCCCGCCCGCTTCGAATTCGAAGAATCGAGCTGCTCCCGCCGCTGCCCAGTGAAGTGGTCGAAGTGATGCCGGCTGCCCACGCCGAGGTAGTGCTCCCGCCGTCGACGCCCGTCGCTGCCCGCCTTCGCCGAGGTAGTGCTCCCGCCGTCAACGCCCGTCGCTGCCCGCCTTCGCCGAGGTAGTGCTCCTGCCGTCGACGCCCGTCGCTGCCCGCCATCGCCGAGGTGCCCGTCGTCACTGCCGCCACCGCTGCCCGTCGTCGCTGCCCGTTTCCCAGCTCGTCCTCGCTGCCCGTCGTCGTCGATACGGTACCGTTGCGCGAAGTGCCACGTGTCATCTCTCTCTCTCTCTCTCTCTCTCTCTCTCTCTCTCTCTCTCTCTCTCTCCCCCCTACTCCTCCTCCTCCTTCGTCATCCTTTTCTTTTTTTCCTTTTTTTCCATCGACGTATCAAGAAACCGGCAGATCCTTCTCCTCCTCCTCCTCCTCCTCCTCCCTTCGTCTTCTTCTCTCCTCCTCCTTCTTTCTCCTCCTCCTCCTCCTCCTCCTCCTCGTTAGTTTTCTTTATCAGTTGAAGTGCCACGTGCCACGTGTCAGGCGAAGTTCCTCCTCCTTTCTCCTCCTCCTCCTCCTCCTCTTCCTCCTCCTTTGTCATCTTTTTTTTTT